CGACAGTGTTCGCTGGTCGTTAGGTTCGAGAAAAAGATAATCAAAATCCAGCGGCGGCCATTAAAACGCTGCGTTTAATTCGTCACCTTCCTTTTTTCCTTTGCCTAATTTCCTTAACTCATCGTGTTTCCATGTTGTCTACTACTCCACAACAATTAATGTCTCTCTCCCTAAACCCTTAGTCGCTACCAATTCCCCTTCTCCCTCTCTCTCTACTTCTCCAAACCCTAAAGAGAAAATGGATCCTTGTCCTTTTATCCGTCTCACGATCGGAAATCTAGCTCTGAAAGTTCCTTTAGCGGCGAAAACGACGAGCTCCGTCGTGCATCCCTCGTCTTCTCCTTGTTTCTGTAAAATCAAACTCAAAAACTTCCCACCTCAAACCGCTGCAATCCCGTACATTCCTCTTGAAACCACTCAGTTCCCGGAGATCCAAACCCTAGCCGCCACGTTTCACCTCAGCAACTCCGATATTGAACGATTAGCTTCCAGATCCATCTTTACCTCTAAGCCATGTCTTAAGATCTTAATCTACACGGGAAGAGCCGGCGCTGCGTGCGGTGTTCACTCCGGTCGTCTCTTGGCGAAAGTCTCCGTGCCGTTGGATCTCGCCGGTACGCAATCGAAGCCGTGCGTTTTCCACAACGGCTGGATATCCGTCGGGAAAGGAGCCGGGAAATCGTCGTCGTCGGCTCAGTTTCACCTGAATGTGAAAGCGGAGCCTGATCCTAGGTTCGTTTTCCAGTTCGACGGCGAACCTGAATGTAGTCCTCAAGTGGTTCAGATTCAAGGGAATATCCGACAACCGGTCTTCACATGCAAATTCAGTTGCCGGACCACCGGCGATCGCACCATGAGATCAAGGTCAGTTTTTCCGGCCAATCAAATAAATTTTCACTACGTTTTCTCGAAAATTGGGTTTTATCACTTTTTGAAAATTTCTTAATTATTGTCTTTTCCCGAGAAATCGAATCGAAACACCATAGATTATTGCAAAATACTGAAATCAAATCACATTCCTGGGTTTAATTTTTTTTTTTGGTTGGATTGAAACTTTACTCTTGTGAGATGATATTTAACCACTTCTATTCATAGTATAATAAACTTTACTCTTCAAATGATTGATTATATGTTTGTTTATTGATCAGATCGTTGCCGCCTGAAACTAGTGTTCCACGGAGCTGGCTAAACTCGTTTGGAAGCGAGAGAGAACGACCCGGAAAAGAGCGAAAAGGATGGTCCATAACGGTCCACAATTTGTCCGGTTCGCCGGTAGCGATGGCTTCAATCGTCACTCCATTCGTTGCATCTCCGGGAACAGATCGTGTAAGCCGATCAAACCCCGGTTCTTGGCTCATCCTACGCCCCGGAGATGGCACCTGGAAACCATGGGGCCGACTCGAGGCGTGGCGAGAACGCGGCGGAGCTACGGATGGACTCGGTTACAGATTCGAACTCATCCCGGATGGATCAAGCGGCGCAGGAATCGTTCTTGCGGAATCAACCATAAGTTCTCACAGAGGTGGGAAGTTCTCAATCGAGTTAGGATCATCGCCAACAAGTAATGTCAACAGAACAAGAAGTCGTCGCGGCGGGAGCGGCGGAAGCGGAGGAGGAGCATCGCCGGTGAATAGTCCGAGAGGAGGAAGCGGGGATTATGGTTACGGATTGTGGCCGTGGAGCGTGTACAAAGGGTTTGTAATGTCAGCGAGTGTGGAAGGTGAAGGGAAATGTAGTAAGCCTTGTGTAGAGGTAAGTGTGCAACACGTTAGCTGTATGGAAGACGCGGCAGCTTACGTGGCGCTTTCTGCAGCCATTGATCTTAGTATGGATGCTTGCAGGTTGTTTAATCAGCGGATGAGGAAAGAGCTTTGCCAACATAGTGAATCACTCAGCTGAAGAAGAAGAAGCAAAAAAATGGATTTTTCAATTTTTGTTTCTCGAAAATTTAGTCACAAATGGCCTTGTGGAGATTTTTTGTTTTGAAAAAAATCTTCTGGTAAGGGCACTAACAAAATAGGATGTACATAAGTGAGTTTCTATTTTGTAACTTTGGTGTGGCATTTTTTTTATTTTGGGTTTGGGTTTCTACGAGTGAGGTTAAGAGTGAGTTTCTCTCTTCTTTTGTCTTTGATTTGATTACGTAAGTGTATAAATTAGAAATCGAATTTATAACCACATGAGATTGTTGTTTGGTTTGCTTGTTTTATCTGTTTGGATGTTCATTGTAACTTTAGTTGGTTGGAAATGAAGTTAGTAACAAACTGTGTTGGTATTGGTGGTTGAGAAGATGAACATGGACTATTGCAAAGGTTTGCTACAACCGC